CCAATCCCAACAGACACCACCGCTTGAAACACAACCCCCATCTTTTCCATTATTTTCAATGGGAAAATTGACTCCACATAACGTTTTCACTTAACACGATCATTCTCTGAAACGTATCTATAGTGTTAAATGAGGAATTACTGTAGTCTTACATGACCTTCTTATCAATAAATTACAACCTAGATGGGGCTGCTGTAAAGTGGGCACATAACTGGTTGGATTTCCCTTCTCACAGTGTAGTTCTCAATGGTACAGTCATGCTGGAAGGGCATAACAATTGGGGTTGTGCAGGGATCAGTTTTGGGGCTGGTTCTGTTCAATATCCTCATCAATAATTTAGACGATGGTATAGAGAGTACGCTTACATAGTTTGCTGAGGATACCAAGCTGGAAGGGGTTGCAAAGGCTTTGTAGGACAGGATTATAATTCAAAATTATCTGGACAAACTGGAGAAATGGTCTGAAGTAAACAGGATGAAATTTAATAAGGACAAATGCAAAGTATTCCACTTAGGAAGGAACAATCAATATTACACACAGAAAATGGGATGTGACCGTCTAGGAAGGAGTTCTGCAGAAAAGGATCTAAGGGATATAGTGGACCACAAACTAAATATGAGTCAACAGTGTGGCACTGTTGCAAATAAAAGCAAACCTCATTCTGGGATGCATTAACAGAAGTGTTGTGAGTAAGACACAAGAAGTAATTCTTCTGCTGTATTCTGTGCCATATATAGAATATATACCTACAGTAGTATGTATATAAGGCCTATAGGCTCAAACCCCAAGTACAGTTTTCTTCCTACAGTGGTATATATGGCCTCAATTGGAGTATTGTGTCCAGTTCTGGGCAGCACATTTCAGGAAAGATGTGAATAAATTAGAGAAGGTTCAGAGAAGAGCAGCAAGAACGACTGAAGCAGTAGAGTTGAAAGTCATAACCAGAGCAGTCACTGCGAGGCACTGTCTTCCCGGAGGCCAAGAATATTGACTTTCAAAGTGCTACATTTGTACTACCGCAAAGTTGACCAGGCAAGGTTGAATGTAGCAGTTACTCCTCATGAAAGCTGAAGTACAGAAATTTACTTTAACAGCCTTTAAAATCGATGGAACATACTTGGTCGTGTGGACTCATTGTTAGAAAATCGACCTAAATGCAGCTAAATTTGATCTGAACTCTCAGTGTAGACCAGGCCATAGCTATTGCCTGTAATATGTGTTTACAACAGCAGAGGATGCAAGAGAGCAGGAAAAAACTAGAATGATAATGTTTTCATGTGCAGGGAATCCGAGGGGGAGGAGTGCTGGAGATTGCTGAGTAGACTGTAAAGATCCATAAGTCTAGACCAGGGGTGGGCAAACTATGGCTTGCAGGTCATATTTGACCCATCAGACTTTATCTGTTCCTTGACCTCCTCCCTGGAATTGGAGTCAGGAACTTGCCCTGCTTTAGCCTCGTGGCATTTCCCAGCCCTGACTGTTTTTTTAATAAGCACCATCTTCAGGCATGCAGAGCCACACGGCGTGGATGCAACTGCACCACACTGTTTCCTGGATAAGAATGAACCTCGCTCCTACACAATAGCCCCCCTAAGTGGCAACATGTCTGATCCCCTCCTGGTCTCCTACAGCCATACCCGCAAGAGCATCAAAACTGCCCAGGGGCCACACTGGTGTCAGCTAAGATACCTCTGCCTGTGGCGGTGCCATTTCTGACAAGGCCCCTGTAGAGCTCTCTTCTGTGCCACTCTCCATGAGTCCCCCACCATCCATTTCGATAACATTCCTTACAGTGTCCCTCAGAGGTGAAAGCAAGTGGGTGTGCCCTGGTGCAAAGCTCTAGCAAGAACTGGCTAAGCTGAGGCAACAGCCAGCAGGGAGCTATTTAAAGAGTTGGCAGGGACCCAAGAGGACAGTACCTGTAAGAAATATTAAGTTACTTTCACTGCTGGTGCTCCTTCCTGTGCCACACCCCCATGAGTACTCTGGCCCACGTCGCCCTGAAACACAATTTCCATACCCAGATGCAGCCCTCAAGCCAAAATATTTGCCTGTCCTGGCCTAGACTCTAGGGCTGTGTCTAGACTGGCCAGTTTTTCCGGAAAATCAGCCGCTTTTCCAGAAAAACTTGCCAGCTGTCTACATTGGCCACTTGAATTTCCGCAAAAGCACTGACTTCCTACTGTCTGAAATCAGTGCTTCTTGCGGAAATACTATGCTGCTCCTGTTCGGGCAAAAGTCCCTTTTGCGCAAAACTTTTGCGCAAAAGGGCCAGTGTAGACAGCTGAGATTTGTTTTCCGCAAAAAAGCCCCGATTGCAAAAATGGCGATCGGGGCTTTTTTGCAGAAAAGTGCATCTAGATTGGCCACGGACGCTTTTCCGCAAAAGCACTTTTTGTGAAAAAGCGTCTGTGGCCAATCTAGACGCACTTTTCTGCAAAAAAGCCCCAATCGCCATTTTCGCAATCGGGGCTTTTTTGCGGAAAACAAATCTCAGCTGTCTACACTGGCCCTTTTGCGCAAAAGTTTTGCGCAAAAGGGACATTTGCCCGAGCAGGAGCAGCATAGTATTTCTGCAAGAAGCACTGATTTCAGACAGTAGGAAGTCAGTGCTTTTGCGGAAATTCAAGTGACAAGTGTAGACAGCTGGCAAGTTTTTCCGGAAAAGCGGCTGATTTTCCGGAAAAACTGGCCAGTCTAGACACAGACAAGGGGTATGTCTAGACTGTATGCCTCTGCTGACAGAAGCATGTAAATTAGACATACCGACATAGTCAATGAAGCGGGGATTTAAATATCCCCTGCTTCATTAGAATAAAAGTGGCCACCACGTTGTGCCAGCTCAGCTGTTTGTAGGCACAAATTGGCAGTCAAGATGGGGATCGGTTGACAAGGAAAGCCTTTGCTGACTGATCCCTTATGCCTCGTGAAACACCTGGATGGTGTTGCTAGAAGTTGGTTGTGAAACCTTGTTCTGATCTCCAGTCCATGACCCTTTCTTATGCCTCATGATTCCATCCTGGTAACTATCTCTTGTCTCTGATTCCAACCTGACTCTGACCCTGACTTTGCCTATTGCCTGGCTCTAGTCTATAGAGTACTCAGATCGCTGCTGACTACTGACTGCCTTGTGGCCATCCTTGACTTGTGGACCCACCAACCCAGCTATGATACTATGTTATACCATATACATCCCACCGTTATATTCACCGATACAGTCTCCATACGAGTTTACACCTTCTACAGACCAATATGGTGGAAATAAATGTTTATATATGGTAAAATAGACCATGTCAGTGTTTTGTATCCCTGCCCTTTCATCAGCCTTACTCTTCACAAAAATTTGAAGCATGATCTTGATCACCATTGGAAAACAACAACATTAATATAGTGTGTGTGTGGGAGAGGAGGGGGGGTGAGAGAGGCAGAAACAAAGTGTGAGGGCCAGTTAAGATATATCTGCCTAAATTAACCATATCTCCCACAAACAATTTTTTTTTCTTTCTGCTCAACAAAAAACTGGGAATCTACTAACATGCAAATTAGATAAGGCTGAGTAAAGAGTGGCCTCTTCTATTTTGTGCCCTTCCATAATAGCTTACGAAGGTAATGGAACTTCAAATTCTGAAAAGCAGGAAACACAGAGGCTATGTCTACATTGGCATGATCTTGTGCAAATACTCTTTAACGCAAGAGTTCTTGCGTTAAAGTATTTGCACAAGACAACGTCTACACTGGCATGTAAGAGATGTGCGCAAGAGATGTGCTTTTGCACAAAAGCATCCGTGCCAGTGTAGATGCTCTCTTGAGCAAGAAAGCTCCAATGGCCATTTTAGCCATCGAGCTTTCTTGCGCAAGAAATTCATGTTGCCTGTCTACACTGGCCTCTTGCGCAAGAACAGTTGCGCAAGAGGGCTTATTCCTGAGCAGGAGCATCAGAGTTCTTTGCACAAGAAGCACTGATTTCACACATTAGAACATCAGTGTTCTTACGCAAGAACTCCCCACCAGTGTAGACAGGCAGCATGTTTTTGTACAAAAGCGGCCGCTTTGGCGCAAGATCATGCCAATGCAGACACAGTCAGAGTGAAGGGATACACTAACATAACCTTAACTCTAGTCTCCTGGAACTGATCATTGCCACTGGAAATTATCTGCATATGCTCCAGCTATATTATGTGGAACTGGATATTGAATGAAGGGATTAGTTGGAGCAAATTAGTAGAGCTGTGATTACATGAGGAGATCTGGGAGTCCCACCTTTCTTTAAAAGTCTGACACCCATTCCCTCTCCCCTCATCAAGTGTGATCTAAGGAAAGATGTGCAAGAGCATTTTGAGATATTGTCCCATTTCAGTGCTGATTTCTGAAGGTGGTACCAGTACCTCAGTACAAGCATTATCTTATCACAGTGCAGAGGTGAGCTATGACAACGACCTGCAGGTGCAGATGGGTAAGTGAAGACAGCACCAGATGGCAGAAAGAAGCCGTAAAGTAACCAGGAGTGGTGCATTTCTGCAGACTGGGCTCAGGGTTTGCATGCAGGGCAGGTGCATGCTGCTCCTGGTCAGAGGAGCTCAAGCCCCACCCAGCCGCAGCAAAGAGTGTCTCAACTTCGAGCACTCCCTCGCTGTGCTCCCCGGGGCACGCGCCCCGTTTGCAAAGCAGCCGCAGCAGGGACAGGTGGGGGCCGGAGCAGGGTGCCCGCAGGGCAGAGTGAAGGAGACGCGCGCGCCGGTCGCTTGGCACGTTGCACACTTCGCCGCCGGGGGTTTGTCAGCCAGTCATACGTCACAAGACTCCGAGCCCGCACGCGAGGCACAGGCGGAACGCAGAGGGGCGAGGCTGACCTCGCGCCACAGCATCCGGGCCGTTATTGCCCACTCACTCCGCCCTCTCCCCACCTGTGCGCTCCCCCGCCGTCCCCCCAGAACGGACCGTTACGTCAGTCCAGGTGCTTTCCCTGGGGCGGAGTTTCGAGCGCCCCAGATAGGCGGAGGCTAGTGGTTGGTTGGGAGTGCGCATGCGCCTGACGGCGGCGGACGAGCGAGCCGCCGACTGTAAGGCAGGAAAGCCGGAGCGCGCGGCGGGCTGGGGCTTGCGCTCGCCGCCGTTCGTGCTCCGGGCGGAGGGAGCGGGTAGGCGGGAGGTTATGAGCCTGCCGGACTTCAGCGGTCATCCTCGCTCCGGCCGCCGCCATGGCACCCCCTATAGAGCAGGAGTTCCAGGATATCGACACCGTTAACGACTGGCAGGCTCGCTACCTTGTGAGTGAACGCGGGGCTCCCTGTATCGGGAGGGGAGGAGGAGCAGGAGGGGAGGACGGGGCAGTCGGCTCCGGCCGGCACGCGCGGCTCTTGTCCCGTACAGGGAAGCGGAAGTCGTTGGGCCACAGTTTGATTTCAGGTGCGCGCAGCAGCGCTAGCACCCGCTGCCTCCTGGAGCGCTGTCTGCGCATGCTCCGAGAAGGGCCGGCAGAAGAAGGGGAGACTTGCCCCTCTAATACGCATGTTCAGTAAAGAAGAGGCACTTGGGACTGGCAGGAGCACGCATGCGTCAAATGCGGGGGGGGGTATGCGCGGAGTATGAGGAGCGTGCTGGTTGTAGTGCGCATGCGCCAGCAGCCCGAGGCGCTTTAACGTGCGCACGCGCGTTTTAGTTAATTTTTCGTCTTTCTCCCTTTTCACTTCCTCGACTGGCCTCCTGGACTCTGCCTAGCGCCGCGCCTACGAGTGGTTGTCACGCTGCTCTGCCGGGCGCCTCGTGCCCTTCGCGCGCGGCTCGCCCCCTACGTCCTGGGTTTCGCTCTGCGGGTCTAGTGAGCAGTAGCTATGAAATGCTCTCGGCCTCGCGATGGTCTTGGTGGAGACTGGTGCTGCGGCATTCATGTTCCTTGATTGACAGCAGAGTTGGGGAAACCTCTGGCCCCCGTGTGCCTACATCCGGCACCCGAGGCTCAGAGCTCCCCAGCTTTGGGGAACCCAGCACCGCCCTACCATAGTCTACTGCCCTCTTCCCCGAGCTCTGGTGTGTGCGGGGAATGTGGGAAGTGGCTTTGTCTTTCTTACTCAGGGCACGTCTGCACTGGGGAGTTGTTTCGAAAGGCGAGCATCCACACTACCAAGCCTGTTTAAAAATAACACGCCCATTATTTTCTAATAACTCTAGCTTGTGAAGAAGGTGATAGTGTGGATATAGCCTCTGGGACCACTTAAGTGAGGGATGGGTTTTTGTTATTGCTTTTCACTTGTGTGTAGCCCCCCAACTGACTTAGAACCTAAAAATGGCCGTACTGGGTCAGACCAAAAGTCCATCCAGCCCAGTATCCTGTCTGCTAACAGTGGCCAGCAACAGGTGCCCCAGAGAGGATGGACTGAAGACAATGATCAAGCGATTTGTCTTCTGCCATCCCTCTCCAGCCTCTGACAAACAGGCCAAGGACACCATTTTATCCCCTGGATAATAGCCTTTTATGGACCTAACCTCCATGAAATTATCTAGCTTATTATTTAACTTCTGTGGATGAGTGGCCCCCAACCCAGAAAAAGTTCCCCATGCCCTGGTTTGCAGCATTGATTGCTTATAAAGGTTTAATGGCATCCTCAGTGGAAGTACTTCACAGGTTATCCTATTACTAGAATTTGCATAACTGCCTTTAATGCCCTATGGCAGTGGTTCCCAAACTTTTTTGGCACCATGCCCCCCTTTTTGTTTTTTGAAAAACCCTCAACCCCCCCAAATAGCTGCAAAACTTGAGCGCAAAAAAACCCAAAAACTTGATGGGGGTGGGGGGTTGGGTCGCCTCGCACACACCCCTGGAATTTCTTCAGGCCCCCCAGTTTGGGAACCTGTGCCCTAGGGCATAGTTGCTCTGATCCAGGTGACCCATCTTTGCTAATAATTTGTGCTCATATCCTTTGTTTTATAAAACCTTAATTCAGCTATGCAAACATTGCTAACCTAGTGTGCCCAACAACTCACAGATCTATTGGATGTTAGGCCCCTCTTACAAATCAGAAATATTCAGCATTAAGTGAATGTGACTTGCCTAAGGCTACATACAATTTCTGAAAAGTTGGGAATAGATAGCAGACCTGTTGCCTTTCTGTTACATTGTGCTGTGCTTTCATTCTGTTGAACTAAAATTTCAACATACTTTACCCCGAAACACTATATTTTAAATATATATGCAGGTTAGGCACAATATCTAACAGTGAAATAATTCCAAGGCTTGAGTTAAACAGAGCAGATGATAAACTAAGCAAAACTTTACAGATGGCAAGTGTACCAGTTCTGTAATCAATATTGTTTACTGTTACTAGCAAAATGTATGCAGAATATTGCATAGTGTATGTCCATAATGTGTAAATTACCTGGCTTAAACCATTTTAATTTTATGAAAATACATCTGTTATAGTAAACTCACATGAAAATGTAAACAAATTCTGTAAGGCTTTTCAGTTACAGATTTTCTGTTTTAAATTTAGCTATATTATGTAACTTTAATGAGAATAGATACCTCCAAATTCTGCCATTCTAGGTTTATGCTGTGGAGTGTTTTCACTTATCTCTTATGAGCAATTTTTCATTTATCTGTGCTCAATATGTTTTAGATGTAATATTTCTGAAGTCTTATTAAATAAAATATAAACCAAGGAGATTATTGCTTCTGTGTCGCAGAAACTATTTATGCAAGTATTTGTATTGGTGTGAGTTCACATGAAATTAGCACATATTTAAGTCCTCAATGATTAAAGTAAAGTTTTTTTCTTTCTGCCCTCCCACCCCATATTGTTGGGTAGTGGATATTGAGGGCAAGGGAGACTATAATGCTCAGGGAATTCCCAAGGAGAAATTCATGGATGAAAGAAGGTGGGATTTCCTCCCTTGTAGAGTGAGCCCTGCAATTGCATGGGCTTGTTGGTGTTGCGAAATACCATGGATCTCTAGGAATAGTTCAGGAATTTCTGTTAGATATATTAAAAAACGGTAATGTAACCATTACAAAAAAAAGTGGCAGTTACACACTGTGGGCTCTGCAATGTAAAGCTTATTATACGGCAGAGCTTGCATTGGGGCCAGAAGCCAGTGTGTGCCAGGAGCTTGCACCTAGCTGCCGGCCCCACTCCGAGGAGCCAGCTGTGCTGAGGACTCTGCAGTATAAGCTTTATACTGCAGAGCCCACAGCGAGAGGCAACAGCCAGCTTCCCGGGAGCAAGACCGGCACACTGGGAGCCAGCTTACCAGCACCCAGCTTCTGGCCCCGCTCCCAGGGAGCTGGCTGCCACCCTGCGCTGCAGGGTCTGATACAGAGCCTTCAGTGCTGGCTGGCAGCCAGTTCCTGGGAGCAGGGCTGCGAATCAGTGTGTAACCCGTTATGGGAATGGATAAGATCATGATTATCAGGTAACCATTTAAAGTTTTTTAAACTGTTACTCTTGCATTCCTAATTTTCCTAGAAGATTGTTTTGTGCTGCTACTTGGTCCATGCAGTGATGACTACCTGATTAACATTTGTGGAGTTGCTGGAAGATGATGCCTCTTATTACACCTGCACTGATTGTGCCCTTCACAGTTGTGGAGCCAAGTTCTAAGGAGGGAGCATCTGTGATATTGGTGTGATTTCGTTGAGCTCAACTCACCTCCAACAGTTTTTGGGTCCTTGTAATTGTGTTCTGTTAGTTTAACCTCTGTGGTATGTCAGAGAGGTTAGTATATAAACATACTGAGAGAAGGGATTAAAGTAATACATTTGTATTTTATTACTTGATAAATAAAAGGTTTCCTCTGGATATTTTTGTTTTAACTTTGGTATTTCTAGTAGATTGAGCTGTTCCAAAATTATCATTAAGTTGTGTGTGCAATTTTAAATGCACACATCTTTAAGATACTTTTTTAAAAAAAAGTGATGTATAGTTTCCCATAATATCACTAATGCATAAATGCTAAATTTGTTTATATGTATTGATACTTCAATAAAAGTGAAGATCCTATTCACATGTAATAGGATCCAGATTCATTTTAGGTTGCAGTTCCACAGAAATCATTTCTGATTATGCCTGTTTTCAGAAGGAGCAGGGGAGAAGGGCTCATTTGAAATGAGGATGTGCAGAAGGTAGATAGAGTGAAGGAAGCCCATGAGGCGATTACAATAGTCAAGGCAAAGAATAGTCAGGACCATGGCAATTGCTTTGCTGGAGGGAAAATACAGGAAGAATGTATTTTGAGTTATGTAGGACCTTGTCAGAAGTAGCAGCAGCACTGGTATGGAGAAAAGATGGACAAGATGCTACTTCAAAATTTAAAAACAATTACAGGCAGTCCCCGAGTTACACGGATCCGACTTATTCCGCAGTTACGAACGGGGCTTTTCTTGCCCCGGAGGACGGGAGCGGCGGGACACCCCAGCAGACCAGGCTTTTCTCGCCGACGACGCCTGGGGTAGAGCAGCTGAGGTGCGGCGCTGCGGGGACCTACCCGGCAGCGCCCCAGCTGCTCTTTCCCAAGTGTCCAAATTCCGCTGCTGGTGG